CAGATTTCTGCATGTTCACATTGACATTGTCGGACCACTTCCACAATCAAAAGGTTTTAAATACCTATTCACCGCTATAGACCGTTACACACGCTGGCTTGAAGTTTTTCCTCTATCAGATATTACCGCAGAAAGTGTAACCTGGGCTTTCTTGTATTCTTGGATTTCACGCTTTGGTGTTCCATCTCAAGTAACTAGCGACCAAGGACGGCAATTCTGTTCAGCTGTTTTTCAAGGCGCAACCAAACTACTAGGAATTTCCCATACTCCTACTACAGCATATCACCCGCAATCGAATGGATTGATTGAAAATGCTCACAGGCCACTGAAAACAGCCCTCATGTGCCATGCAGACCCGTCATGGATGGATTCTCTACCAATTATTTTATTAGGAATTCGAGCTTCTGTTAAAGAAGACATTAAAAGCAGCAGCGCCGAATTAGTATACGGAGAACCGCTTCGTCTACCTGGCGAATTTTTAATTAGCACACGCAAGGAGATACCAACAAGCGATTTCTTGAGAAATCTACATCGACATTTCGAAACAATACATCCAACTCCTACATCTGCACATGGATCGAAAAAGACTTTTGTACATAAAGAACTAAGTAATGCAAAATTTGTATTCCTTAGGGAAGACGCTCTGCGACCAGCGCTTTCTTGTCCATACAGAGGTCCGTATGAAGTCATAGATCGAAACTCCAAAACATTGAAAATTAAAATTGGAGAACGCAATGTAAGAGTATCCATCGATCGTGTCAAGCCCGCTTTTACCACAGAAGACGACCAAAGTACGAGTCCAACTCCATCCAGAGCTACTGAACATACCTCCAATCAATATAAAACACGGTTTGGACGGGTAGTTCGTCCTCGCATCCAATAAAATTAATACAATTTTATTGACTCGCCAGGGGGGTATTGCAGCGACACTAGCTCTCCTACTATTGAAAATAGTAGTAAAGAGCTACACTAGCCTCCACACTATTAGGGACCCTAATATGTGGAGGGGGTCAGGCTACCAGGTATATAACCAAAGCAGTTACCATCCTCGCTCTCTTTTCTCTTCTACTGGTCGAGCAGGCAATACCTAGAAAAACTACGGAGTCCAAGCGAGGAATACCAAGAATACCAGAATTCAACCAAGAAGATTTTGTAATTATTATAATTTTGTAATAAACTTTATTTTTCATTTATAGTGTCTTGATTTTTATATGTGGGACCACCCCACACGTGTATTTGATTAGAATTTTATACACACAAACCTTAAAATATAAACTAGTTATTATATAATTTGCAAATCATATAATAACTAGGTGGTGTATGGCATCGTGCCTCATGGCAAATTGCTGGAAATTTCCATACCAAAAATTAATTTTTTAAAAACGATTTTTTTTAAACATTGGAAAAAAAAGATTTTCGAGAAATTAAATTTTTGAAAAAGACTTTTTTGAAAAATAAAGACTTTTTGAAAAAAATATTTTCATTATTTTTGAAATATTTTGAACTGTTTTTCAAAGCAATTGCTCTGCTTTAGCAGCATAGAGACGGAATATCGAAGCGCTTAAGCGCCGCGTCGCTATCTAACGGACAAACGATGTTATGGAACCTGTGTAAACAAAATTTATACGTATTATTAAAACCTCTATAAAATATCTGATAATTTGATGTGCATATGTCTAAAGATCATTTTTGACTGCTAAATGGCATTTTTTTAACTTCCCGAAGGAGAAGTTAAATCAGTCAAATATTTAAAAGCCGTTCGATGTATCTCGATGAGGACTATTGTTTGTCAGTTTTGTGCAACGACCGGCCAAGCTGTTTCTTGATAAATAGCAGAAAAGTGAATAATTTTTCGTGCACGTTTTAGCCCGCAATTCTGAATCAATTTTGAAAATTCAAAAACCCGGGCCGTTTTCTTGTAATAAAGTGTTATAAAAAAAGTTCGACGATTTTTATCATTATTTTTTTTACGGTAGATACTATAGTCTTCTAGATCATACTAAAATATTACGACCCTACGATAACTCGTTTACCTTTAAAAGTTCGCCAAAGTTTGCAAAAATTAATATAGTTTTTTTGGCATTTGTCAAAATTAGACCTTTCATAGACGTTTGCTCAAAAACTGAACCGATTTCAGAAATTCAAAAGCCTTTTGATGTATTTCGATGAGGACTATCGTTTGTCAGTTTTGTGCGACGATCTCCCGAGCCGTTGCTTTGTAATTTGGAAAAAAGTTTTAAACTTTTCGTCCACTTTTAAGCTCATACTACCGAATCGATTTTAAAAAATCAAAAACTGTTCGAAAGATATTTGATGGGAATGATACTGATTAGTTTTAGGTGAAAATCTACCGAGGCGTTTTCTTGTAATTCGTCGTTGAAAAAAAAATTTGAGCTGATTTTTATGAAATATTTTTGATGATATACATCATGGTCTTATACAAATTTACTGAAATATTACGGCCTTACGACAAGTAGTTTAATTTTAAAAATTCATCAAAGTTGGAGAAAATGAGTACATTTTTGTCGTTTGTTAAAATGAAAATTAGACGATTTACTTGGTATAACGATAGAGTACTTGGTCTTAATGAACATACTAAACCGTTGAAGTCCTACGGAAACTGGTTCAACTATAAAAATTATTGATTTTTGAAAATTTGCTTTTAGAAAACACTCCGAGTTAACGTGTTCGTTCGTTTTTAATTATGTGTAATAAATCCACTCGGAATACTTTCAATCACTCATAAATTAATTTATTTTTTATTAATTAAGTCGATTAATTACACATATCGGGAAGATCATGTAACTTTCCTGAAGGCAAAATACCAATACCAACTAGTTCACTAGTTCTGCTTATGCCAAAAACTAATCAGCACGCCTCCTTATTAATAGGAATCGAATGATTTTTGAATTATTCCAATTGGTTGATCGGTGTTCCTGAAATGGTCGACGAAAATTTGTATCCGCACACACATACACGCACACGCATATATGCATCCATTTTTTCCAAGGTATGCCAAAATGTTCAGAAACCTTTGAAACGTGAAGATATATTAATATTTTTTAATTTCCCGTAGGGCGGGTGCGGATACAAATTTTCGTCGGCGATTTCGGGAACACGGATCAACCGATTTGAATAATTCAAAAAACATTCGATTCGTATTGATAAGGAGATGTGCTGATTAGTTTTTGGCGAAGGCAGGTCTAGCCGTTCCGAAGATACGGGGCTAAAAGTGCCGAAAACGGTAACTCAGTTTTTAAGAGAACGGAGCGTCCGATTTGAAAAATTCAGAAAACATTTCACTTGTATTGACAAGATGAAGAATTGATCAAATTTTCATGAAGGCAGGTCAGCGGTTTCAGAGATCTAATGAAAAAAGTAAAAAAAAAATGCCATTTGGCGGTTAAAAATGATCATTAGACATATACACATCAAATTATCAGATATTTTATAGAGATTTTAACAATAAGTATAATTTCTTTTTACATTTCTATGGGTTTCGTACCAATGCTTATGCGTTAGACGGCGGCGCGGCACTTGCGCGCTTTGACATTTCGTCTCTATGCAGTTCAAGTAGTACGATTGCTTTGAAAACTAGCTGTAAGTGGAATTCTGTCTTAAGGCAATTAAGGCATCGTGCCTTAAGGCAAATTGCTGGAACTTCCCGTACCAAAAATTATTATTTTTTTAAAAACGATGAACATTTTTGAAAAAAATTTACTTCGGAAAAATAAGATTTTTGACAAACAATTAGACAAAAAATTACTTTTTTTTAAAAAAAAAATGTTAATTTTTTTTTTTTAATTTTTTTTTTTGAAAAAAAAATGTTTTCTTTATTTTGACATATTTTGAAAGATCTAAACTTTTTTCGTACTGCTTTAACTGCATAAAGACGAAATATCAAACCGTCGAAATTCAAATAAAATTCAAATATTAAAAGATGAAATATCAAGACGTCTAACGCGTAAACATTGGTACGGAACCCATAGGAATGTAAACCAAAATTATACTTATTGTTAAAATCTCTATAAAATATCTGATAATTTGATGTGCATATGTCTAATGATCATTTTTGACCGCCAAATGGCATTTTTTTTTACTTTTTTCATTAGATCTCCGAAACCGCTAGACCTGCCTTTTTGAAAATTTGATCGGTTCTTCACCTTGTCAATACAAGTAAAATGTTTTTTGAATTATTAAAATCGGACGATCCGTTCTCTTAAAAACTGAGTTACCGTTTTCGGTACTTTTTGCCCCGTATCTTCGGAACGGCTAGACCTGGCTTCGCCAAAAACTAATCAGCACGTCTCCTTATCAATACAAACCGAATGTTTTTTGAATTATTCAAATCGGTTGATCGGTGTTCCCGAAATCGTCGACGAAAATTTGTATCCGCACATACATACATATACACACACACATACATCCATTTTTTCTAAGGTATGCCAAAATATTCAGAAACCTTTGAAACATCGAGAAATGCAAAAAAAATCATTTTCGATTTTTTTGCGATTACTATAACTTGCCCTACGGGAAGTTAAAAAGTTCAGAATTTCCAAAATATGTCAAAATGAAGAAAACATTTTTCTTTTCAAAAAAATTTTGTTTTCAAAAAAAAAAAATTTTTTTTCAAAAAAAAGTAAATTTTTGTCAAATTTATAGTTTCTCAAAAATCTCATTTTTTCGAAGTAAATTTTTTTCAAAAATGTTAATCGTTTTTAAAAAAATGATAATTTTTGGTACGGGAAGTTCCAGCAATTTGCCTTAAAGCACAATGCCTTAATTGCCTTAAGACAGAATTCCACTTACAGCTTCTTTTCGATTTTTTTTTTGCGATTTCTATGACTTACCCTTCGGGAAGTTAATTAAGTATGATTGTTAGGTTAAAAAAGATATAGCTAAAGCCTCTGGGGTAAAAAAAAACGAAGTAACTTTTCGAACAACCTTATACTTCGGGAAGTTAAAAAAACAAAATTTACAAAAAAATATTTTTCAGCAGGTGGATCAATGAGCACGAATATAAGTCTGGATAAAAGTCGAACAATTGAATCGAATTCTTACAATAAAATTGAAACTATAAATCTGAATGGCGATGATCATATTGACTTTTGTACGGAAGCACAAATAGATTTGATTAATAATAACATATATAATATTGATCCTAAGTATGCATCGATCATCAAACCATGTTCGGTTGTATTGGAAGATTGTTTGGAACCTGTACACATCGAACCTGAGATTGATATAAATATAGAAACCACAGTACATGCATGTATTCCCTGTAATGAAACTTATACGACCTTAAAAGATTTAAAAAAACATGTATATACAACGCACGTAAGTGACACAACCACTAAATGTTTCATTTGTGATGTCGAAGTTACAAACATGAACAATATGACCACGCATATATTGACTCACATGCTTACGGTTATTTATATTTGTAAAATTTGTAGCGCAGTGAAAGAAACTCAGGAAAGTTATGATGAACACATGCTTACCCACCGCAAGAAAAATTTTGTGTGTGATGTATGTGGTAAAACTTGTTCAACCCTATATACCCTGTCCAAACACAAAATAGTACATCAGCCAGAAAGATACAAATGCAAGGTATGCAGCAAAATATTTGGTAACACACAGAGCCTCAATCAACACATGCTGATTCACGGGGAAAGGAAATTTGTCTGTGAAATTTGTGATGCTACATTTTACAGAAGACAAGCTTTAAATGTTCACGTGAAGATGCACAGCACAGAACGTGCCTACAAATGCAACTTTTGTTCTAAGACTTATATAACTAGAAGTAATTTGGTATCGCATGCACGAGTTCACGATAAAACAAAACAAAAGAAGTGTGAATACTGTTCGAAAACATTTCTTACAAAACAAGCTCGCCTACAGCATTTGTATAAGTATGAAAATGTCCAACTTCATCAATGTAATTTGTGTAAGAAAGTTTATGAAACTTTAAGTGAATTGAAAACTCACGAGCAGAAGCACAATGGAGATTTGGAAACATTCCAGTGTCGAATATGTGGAGAACTTTTCAGGTCGAAGGTGAAATTGAGTCATCATAGAGAAGGCTGCAGGGAAAAAAATGATTCTAACTTGGTTGATTTGTCCATATAAGAAATCTGATAAATAAGTTAGTTTTATTGTTAGAATTTTTAATATGTTTATATAGAAACGTTCATCTTATGGTAAACGGTTATAAGAATTTGTGTGATCTCTTCATGTCTGTTCTTAAATTTATTGTTTGTGATTCCACAAACAATCTTCTTTCAATATTGTTATCTGTATTTTAAAAAATCATATGTTTTGCATTTAACATATGCTTTATTGGTGTGTGTATATATACGGCATGTGCATATTGAATTTTATTGCATAACAAACTACCTCCTGCATTATTTATCATAAGATCGAACAATGTTTTTTTACAGTTAGACTATAAAAAAAAATTATATGAATATTTTATACAATCATTAGTTTTATTAATATGAACTGATAATATTAATTATATAATAATATATATTATTATGGTAATATACAATATTACTATTTATATTATTTATGAATGAAAAATGTACAAGTTATTAATGTATATCGTCCATATATCGTGTTGTAAATTCTTGATTAAAATATGTAACAAAATTAATATAAAAAAGGGTTTTTATATTTACAGAAAATTTTATTAAATTTTTAACAAGATCTACACGTTTATTTTGTGATTTGGGAACGTAACAATAACGAGACCGTTATGGGGAAGTCCCCTAGTGGCGGAGACCAAAGGTCATAGATAAGGAAATAGATAGAAAACTTAGGGGATATTTCGTAGTCAACGGAATAATTGCACATTACGACGCTAGAGGCGCTAGTGTTCGTAGCAGGCTCCAGAACTTTTTGCAAAATAAAAGTTTAAATACAAGATAATTTTGGTTTATTTAATTGTAGATATATGAGTTTAAACCCATTTATATCTTACTTATATGTAACAAGCCATGCACATGCAATTTATCAATTATACGTATGATACACATGTTTAAATGTTAACTATCTATTATATAAAAATAAGTCGGGTTTTCCTTTCTGACAAAATAACTCCAGAACGCACGAACCGATTTCGACGATTTTGCATTCGTTGGAAAGGTTCGGGTTCCGTGATGTTTATAGCAAAAAAAATTGAAGAAAGATTTCAACAGAAAAGCGGAGAACACTTTTTCTTTTTCCACATACAGCGCCATCTCTGATTCTTAGCATGTACTACAACTAATACTTTTTGTTTGACTGCTACTCATTGTTCTCTGCTCAGTTAATTTCATGTGACAAACCGGCATTGTGTTCACTGTGAAATTGTGCTAAAAAGTAAAAAAATAAGTTCTTCGTTTCCTATCATTTCAATTGGAAACCATCAAATCAATCACGTGTATTGTGCAAGTTTTTATTCAATTTCAGCAGCAGGTCATTTTTTTCTCCATCTTTTAATCACCAAACAAAATGTTACATAAAATGAAACCATCTGGTGGTGAAACGGAGTTTGCCCGGTTGTCTAGTTTGATATATAACTGATATCACAAAAACATAATAAGACTCTAAAGACTTCGTTCAATGAATAGTTTCTTTTTGAAAATATTTTGCATACATTACGATCTTGCTACTAATATCATATCATCTATCTCCACATGAAAATATTTAACAAAATATAAGTGACTCTGCATCAACCGAAATATTGGGCAAAATACCGATAGCATAAAACTGTTAATCGCAAAAAGAATCAAAAACAAGATTAAGATATTAACGTATATCTTTAAGTTATAAGTATATCGTGACAATAATGAAAAAATGTTTAGAGACTACAAACTAAATACAAAACTTAAGTGAAAGTCGACACATCGTTTTTTTGTTTTTGACATATGATGTATTCATTGTTTTGCTCGCAGACTAGATCGAATAATTGCGATAGCTGCGCTAACTAGCGTCGTAAGCGCGAGTCATCTAAGCGATCACCGAAATTTCTTAGAAGTTTGCTCCCCCTGCCTGAGGTTATTTACAAATAATACAAAACAATTTTACGAAATGTTTACTAAATTATGATTTATGTTACATAACAAAGTTAGAAATGAAACTAAATTAACAAAACCGATATCTTCCCTAAAAAATTATTAATACTAACAATCAAATTTTGGTATCAAAAAAAAAATGATTTTAAACAGTGACACCTAGTACCGGACATTTCAAAAAAAACCTGCATTGATCACATATGCAGCCATTTCCACACTCTGGAATGTCTGCACATGTGTCTTTGACGAATAATCTTAGATATTGGAAAAAAAGTCACTTGTATTTTGAAATGAAAAGATTTATACTTGCCTAAATAATACGTGTTAAATACAGTGTCCGGTACTTGGTGCTGCCCGGCGTTACGGGACTTTCCCCTACATTTAGCACGATTTAGAAAGTTGACGTTACGTTTTTGAGACGCCTGTGTGCCTTCTAGGTTACATAACCGTTAAGTTTGATGTTACATCTGTTACGTTATATTAACATTTTAATTGCATTTTGTGGTTTACTGGGTATTTAATATTCATACTTGAAAATGGTAAATATCAGGATTTCTTATTTTATGTTTATTACTTTTTAAGCCACAATTTTGTGGTACCATTAAATGATATATAATTGGAACAGACCTTTTAAATACCTAAAATGAAAAAAAGTCTGAAATTCTATATTAATATCATACATTATATTTTGTATTATAATATATATATAATATACAATATTCTATTATATTCTTACGAACTATATTAATATTATATTCATACTTCTATCTAGTTACATAAATATATTATATATTATAATAAATATCTTATTATAAATAAGTATGAAAATTTATGTTATTGTTTTAATGTATGCGTTTGTGTCATTTATTAATAATAATCAATAGCTAAAAAGTAATTATTTGTGATTTCATAATATATAGCAAAATTGTTAATCGATTAAATAATAATAAAATTTTAGTCTTAGTTTTATTGTTAGTTCACATATTTGTGAAAGAAGTGTTTGGAATAAATAAATCAATTATAAGTTTTGCAATTTATCCAATAGTTAATAAACATTATTTTTTTACGATTTCAAAATACATGCAACAGTTCAGAATGCCCGATAGTCTGTCATTTTTCCGAAAATTTCATTTTTTCAGAAATGTGCATTTACAACAAATGATAACGCTCGAGAGCTGGAGAGCTATTAAAACATATTCGTGGTGGTTCGGAATTACTCGGGCTCGCTATCGTTCGGTAATCTTTGTGTTCACGGTAAATTCCGTTGTGTGTAGATTCATGAATAAAGTATGTTCTACGACACACGTAGGCCTTAAGGCTTTGACCGTATCTTAAGTTAGTCTATGTAATACGGCGATACAGACAGTACATATTTATCAGTAGATTTAACTTCGTTTTTCAACAAACTCAGAAAATATAATCACATATTAAAGTAATTAGCAACATCATATTTCAATTATCATTGCTCGATGCCCATAACATTTGCCAGCGACTAGGTTTATGCACAGATCGAGAAGATTAGTTATTTAAGGTACAAATGTGTTTCGAGATCAAAATAAAATAAATTGGGACAAACATCATATCAACCATCTACTTCAAAAAAAATAATTTTAAATGTAGAATTAGAATCATCATAGTTCCATTTCTATTTGCACCATCAAAAAGCCAGTCTCTTATTTTAGTTACAAATGTAAATTTCGAGTTAAAAATATAAACTTAAGCTACCACTTCTTCAAGAACAATTTGTCTTACAATTCATTTTATGCAAAAAACCAATGTGAAGACAACATTGGTTCAAAACCTCACTATTCGGGTAACCTGTTTTAGAAATACACCAACAAATCAATACAGTTATCTCAAATGATCATCCAAGGTAGCATTTTTAAATCCATGACCAAGTGGAATTATTATATTCAATTCAACTGATGATTAATACTTTTGTCACCAAATAGCTTTTTAAATCAAACAGTTACTTTAGTACAACAGTAAGCCTCGAGTTAAAAAAAAATAAAACAAGACAAATCCTTTATATACAGCCTACTTTAAAAACGTAACTCTCAATAGTTACAATTAGTATGATTATAACTCAATTTGTATTGCTCGATGAATATAAAACCAATTTTTGTAAACCGACAAACCATAGTTGAGACGAAACCTTGGGGCTAGTTTTAACATACAAGAATTATATACAAATTTAAGAGAAAATAATTGAGTAGGTTGTATAGTGGCACATGTAAATTTTGTTGCAGGAGACAATATATATATTTTTGAACCAATCAATTCTTTAACTATCAATAGCATTCAATTTGAATTTTCCTCAGTCTCAAAATTTCTAGGGATACAATTACAAAAAAACCTAAACTGGGACAATCATATTCATTCCATACTTGTACCTAAGTTAACCAAAACCTGTTTCATGTTGAGAATTCTTAAATCAAAAGTTAGTTTAAATTGCCTTCTTTCAATTTATTATTCTAATTTCTATTCGCATCTCGCTTATGGAATACAATTCTGGGGATTCTCATCATCCTTAAAGGATATATTCAAAATACAGAAAAGAGCATTAAGAATAATTTTTTCCCTCAGTTCCTTATCCTCATGTAGGAATCTTTTCCGACAATATAACATTCTCACTGTTCCCTGTATATTTTTGCTAATTACGTTGTCATTCATAAAGAATAATCCTGAACGCTTCAACCTATCCTCCATGTTAAATTCCTATTATAAAACAAGAAATTTGACTATAAAAGGACCAACTTTTAAACTTGAAACATCTTTTAATACCATAAACGGAAGAGGAGTATAGCTTTTTAATCTACTCCCACTACGTATTAGGAAACTGAATGATCGTCAATTTCATAATACTATTGTTAAACTTTTAAAAGCTCAAAGTTTCTACGATACTTCTGAGTTTGCCAATTTCGATATCAAACATTATTTTGATAATGAAATGCCTACTGTTACTAATTAATACTTCTTTTTGCAACAGTTACAATTTTTTCCCTTTTCAATACATTTTCTAATTTTTATTCTAAATTATTTTACCATTTTCCTACTTTAAGTATTTTATCA